TCATTTTTAGTACAAATTATTTCTAGGTACGTAATTGCATAGAGCAACACTTGATCCTATACAGAAAGACACAGTAAGATGCATCTTTGTTTTATTACTTTTAACTTTATTTTTAATAAAAAAGGTGAAAGTCAGTGACAAGGAAGTAGATGTGATGCATGGCTTCAGACTCTATATTACCACCAAACTGCCCAACCCAGCCTACACCCCTGAAATAAGCGCTCGAACCTCCATCATTGACTTCACTGTCACCATGAAGGGTCTAGAAGACCAGTTGCTGGGCAGAGTCATTCTCACAGAGAAGCAGGTGAGTGAAGTATGGCCATGCCCTCTTCTGTATTATATTGTGATTCTTTCATTAATGAAAGCAATGTGATAAAAGTTGTAATAGGATTGAGTTCCTGTTTCATTCTGAAGTTTTTTCATTACTAATTCCCAAGTGTCTCAGATAACTGCTAACCAATATCTACTTAACATATTTCATCTGCATCTCATAAATCACATATCTATCATCACTTGATTTCATAAAGACAAATGGTGTAACTATGAGAATATCAGTTTTATTTTCAGCCTCATTATCCTGGTTTTTAAATTTATTTTCCTGAAGAGTTTGTTCTATTGTGAGTTCTATGGACTTTTAGCTTTCTAGTACATGTCTAGGTTTTTCTTTCATTCAATTCATTTGTTATACTTTTGGAATATAAAATTAAAATGCTTCACTCAGGTAACATCAAACATTGTTAGTTCATATTTGTTATTTAAGAACATTCTGTGTATGCTGTGAGAAGATAGAGTTTCACTGAGCACTTTCTGGAAGCTACTGGCTCAATTCTCTATAAGGATAACTCTAGATCTGTTTCTTTTTCTTTTTTTTACTTCTATTTTATGGGGAAACTAATGCTCAATGAATAATGGCCAATAATTTAGAAACTTCCCTGTTTGAACCAGCATTTTCTCTAGGGAACATGTGAGTCTTAGGCAGAGAAATCTAGAGATTTTTGAGGATTTTAATAAGACTGCTTTGGTGAAACTGGATGGACTCTGAAAGGTGCTATTGATTTTCTTCTGGATTCTTAGTTTACTTTATGGCACCTGCTACACTGGCCTACAGATTTATTTCGGTTAAATTGGCAGAATTTTTGGAGTCTTCCCTTCCCATTACTTTTACCTTTTTTGTATATTGTATCTTGCTTGAGCCTTTCCACAAATAAAATAGCAGGAAATAAAAAATGGCAGGAACGGATGCTAGAATGCCTGCCACAGACTAGCTATCAAGAGATAACACCTTCCGAATATGTACTTGTTCATTTTTGGCGTCTCCGCAGAGGTGGTTGAGGGAGCTCAGCGCTGCTGTGTCATGATGGCAGGAAGGACTGGGCATCTTGATCCACAGGATGTAACATATTCGGGGCAGGACCCAGTGTGGTGTTTGAGGCTCTGCCTCACCGGTGGCCCTGGCCTCAGGGAGATAAGGGACTCTGATGGCAGTTTGAATAATATCCTGTCCTTGGTTTTCTTTCTATTCAGCCCAGATGAATAGAGTCTCCTTAGAAAATCATTTAGTCTGACAGATTGTGGTTGCAACAAAACAGAACAGCCCAGCGATGAGCCGTGATTGTGGCCACAGAGGTTTGAGATGAAGCGAGGAGCACTTTAAGCTCCTTTGAAAACAAGACTTCAAACAGCTTTGAAAAGGCAATAAGGATCCCTGGCCCAGCTTTTTTCGTACTTCCTGGGAAAGTTGAATGTCATCTCATTATCAGAATCTATTCCAGTCTCACAGTAAACGACTCTTAACAAAGAGTGTGGTCAGAGTAACAGTACCCCACACTCGTTCCTTAGGATAGTAGAGGGTCTCTTACCTTGAACCACATTATAATACAACATGTAACCTGAATTTCCTTTTCTCTAAAGCAAAGTCTCCCTCCTGCTGGACTTAATTTGGGAGGATTTTAAGTGGCATACGCTGCACAAGCAGCTTGTTATTTTGCAGCTTCTGTTCTTCCCACCGTATCCCCAAATCTGCTCTGATTACTGTGTCTCTCCGGCCTGGGTGGTGGCACGTGGCTTTGAGGTGGACTCTGGTGTTTTCCGGGCATTGCCTATATTGGTTCTCAATCTTCTGGCCCTTTAAATACAGTTCCTCATGTTGTGACCCAACCATAAAATTATTTTTGTTGCTACTTCATAACTGTAATGTTGCTACTGTTATGAATTGTAATGTAAATATCTGATATGCAGGATGGTCTTAGGCGACCCCTGTGAAAGGGTCGTTCGACCGCCAAAGGGGTCGCAACCCACAGGTTGAGAACTGCTGGCCTATAATCTAGTAACTCATTTGAGAAGAGCCCATGTCTGTGTCATATGAACACAGATATAAAAGGTTTTCTGAGGTTTAAATTAAATTGTTCCTTTGACTTCATTGATGATGTAGTCTCTCTATGATCACTTTTTGGGTGATTTTAAATATGAATGTAAAATGTCAGTATAAAATGTTTTAGAGCCAAGGGGGGTGTTGGAAGCTAGGAAGATCCCACCGATGGGAAGTTGATGTTGGAAAGCATCTAAGAAAATCCCTTAAATGTGGGGCTGAAACAAATGGTGAGCGGCTTCAGTCAGCATGAGTTGTGCGTTCACTGGCCTGTAGGTTCTTCATGTGGAAGGTGGCTTGGAGCTGTGGCTTATGCTGCAAAGGAAAGACCACTATTCTCTGATTCCATAATTTACCAGCTTCCTAGTGTCCTGGGAACATGGGTAGTGAGGAGCCCTCTCACACGGGATCTGGTCTCAGGAGTGCTCAGCTGTAGAGCTGGCTGGACCCACAGTTTTGTTAGCCTTAGAAACCAAAGGAACCCCAGAGCCTATGAATGCAAGGATGGCAGACTTTTGAACTCACTTTACACTTTTCTGTGTGCTTCAAGGCAGTCATTTTAAATGTGTGAGCTGTTCAAGTTCACACCAAGGCCATATTCAGTTGTTGACCTGATTGATGTACCTGTGAGTAGATTCAGACAGCCTCTGTTGTCACCAGAAGGTGATGGATCGCGACCATTTAAAGCAGGCAGTAACCCAGTGGCCCTCCAGCAGCTTTCCTTTAAAGAAAACCTGGTCTCCTAGGCTCACTCTGACCTTGGTCCCAGAGAACAAGAAGTCGGAAACTCAAAGAGACCTCTGCAGTATTAGGAGAAAAATACTAATATCAATGAACAACTTCTACTGTCACGCCATGCAAAGCCTCACGGGTAATCATTGTTTAGAATTCCGGATGAGCAGAAAGGCGGATGGATGATTGATTTCCTTTGGAGGTAGAGGAGCCTGAACCTGGTGGAGCTGATATGGGAAGTAATTTAATAAAGACACTAAACAGACAGTGTTATTGCCAGCTCCCTGGTGGGAGAGAAAAAAATAAATCTGTTTCCGAGTTCTGTTGTTTAATCTTTCTGTTTTAATTAGCAATGTAAAGTGCAGAAGAGAAGGAATCTTAGGGAATGAAAGCCTGGGTGCTACCTTAGAAATGAGAACTCTGAAATGCTGTCATCTCTTTTCTGTTATTGATTTCAAACCTTTGGTTACAGGTGCCATTTATGTACACACAGGATTTTAGTTTTCATTTGCATCTTTGTTGAAGCCCTTACTTTTTGATCATTTAATTAATAAATAGTACATTTCCTGAACTTATACTGAATAACTGCTGTGTTTTCTTATTTACTTTGGGGATAGTTTTCACAGTTTATATAAAAATTTTACGTTGTAACCTTAGGGTATAGAATACAGAGCACAAATGTTTACTGTTTTTTTTTTTTTGTGTGTGTGTGTGTGTGTGTGTGTGTGTGTGTGTGTATGTATGAGATAATCCCTTTGTGGGAAAAATGCTTACAGACAAAATTATTTTGATTAATTTTCCTCCTTCATATTAATTTTAAAAAGAACTATCTTTTTATATAGTCAACAGAAATAAATTTAAATCAGTCACACAAATTAAAATATGCCTAAAACCTTATCCCAAAGTAGGTTTTCTATTTTTAAATCTTGAGTGAAAAGCAAGCAGCAATTATTCTATTTTTTTTCAAAGATAACTTTCTTTTCCTCACAACTATGGTCTGTTCTAGTGTTGGGCCACTTTTGTACCATGTAATACATACTTTGCTTTTGTAATCCCAAATACTACTTTAAATTGTACTATTTTCTTTGGAGTATATTATTCATTGGTTTCAAGCTTTGGGGGAAATGTAGTGCTTAGCTTTATTTCAAGCCTTTGGCAATATAAATGTATTACTATATTGACAAATTTATTTTAAAGTGTTAACAATAGTATTAAATTGACCACACCATCTCAATCGTAGTCAAGCTTTTACTTATTACTTTTTAAATCAGGAATTAAATAATTTTCCACTTATTGAATGCATTACTAATAACTGTGTTTATTTTATTAATAATGGTTTTTAAAGCAACCTGGAGACATAATTTTTTTCTTTATTGATTAAGGTATTACATATGTGTCTTTATCCCCCCCACCTCCCCGTTGTCTGTGTCCATTGGTTAGGTTTATGTACATGCATACAAGTCCTTTGGTTGACCTCTCCCCCTTACTCCTACCCTCCCTGCCTTCCCTCTGAGATTTGATGGTCTGATCGATGCATCTCTGGATCTGCTTTTGTTCATCAGTTTATGTTGTTCATTATATTCCATAAATGAGTGAAATCATGTGATATTTATCTTTCTCTGACTGGCTTAATTCAATTAGCATAATGCTCTCCAGTTCCATCCATGCTGTTGCAAATGGTAAGAATTCCTTCTTTTTTACTGCAGCGTAGTATTCCATTGTGTAGATGTACCACTGGTTTTTAATCCAGTCATCTGATGATGGGCACTTAGGCTGTTTCCAAATTTTAGCTATGGTGAATTGTGCCGCTATGAACGTAAGGGTGCATATACCTTTTCTGATTGGCGTTTCTAGTTTCTTGCAGTATATTCCTAGAAGTGGGATCACTGAGTCAAATGGGAGTTCCATTTTTAGTTTTTTGAGAAAACTCCATACTGTTCTCCACAGTGGCTGCACCAGTCTGCACTCCCACCAGCAGTGCATGAGGGTTCCTTTTTCTCCACATCCTCTCCAGCACTTGTCATTTGTTGATTTGTTGATGATAGCCATTCTGACAGGTGTGAGGTGGTAACTCATTGTTGTTTTGATTTGCATCTCTCGGATGATTAGTGATTTTGAGCATGTTTTCATATGTCTCTTGGCCTTCCTTATATCTTCTTTCAAAAAGTATCTATTTAGGTCTGGAGGCATAATTTTGGTTTCAATCCCATAGTTCAGAAGTGGAAACAAGGTTGGAAATGTATGTAGTGACAGGTTGTGTGAAGCATGTTGAGAATTTTGGCCTTTTCCCAAAAGTTAAGGGAGATCTTCTGAATGACTTAGGAGAAGAAAAGGGAGACCAAGTGTGGTCAGAGTAGTCCACCATGGAATACGTAATAGTTAGCCCCAGTTAGGGCAGGGGCTATGTAATTGGGGGGAAAATGGACAGAAGAAAAACTGTTGCTCAGGAAAAGACTCAGTAAGACTTGGGGCGGTTTTTGGTTTTGACAGTGCCTGCAGACCGGGAAGCACATATTCTGAGTGTGAGTGCAAGAGTAGAAAGTTCTCCTTTTTAACATCTCCTTTCATCTACATCATTATGCTTTTATGATGGTATATGAAATCTAAAGTATGATTTTTTGGGCCAACTTATGATTTTATTTTTCAAACTACTCATTTCTAAATACACATTATAATCTTTCTGAAAAATCCATGAGGAAAATGAATCAAGGGAGGCGATAGAAGGAACGATACACATTCTGAGCAGCTATCCATCCAGTTGATGTTTTAGCTACTTTAATAGCGATATCCTCACAATCACTCTTGGAGCTGTTTTTATGTCCATTTTGCAGATGAAGAAACTGAGGCTTGTAGAGTTGTGTAACATGGCCAAGGTCATGTAGTTAATAAGTCCTGGGAGTTTGGATTCAAACATGTCATTCTGATGTCAAAACCATCACTCCTCTCACTGCTCTATTCCTTCTCTTACCTGTCTTCAGGTGAGGACTTTTATAAAGCTCACCTTGAGGAACTCAGAAATGATGGTGTTAGGTATGAAATTTTGGATTATGACAATAAAAATAATTGAAGTTTTTCCCTTTAGTTTTATTATCATTGTATTTCTTAGTGTAAACATGGTGTGAATGTTTTTTTTTAATTATTATAACTGCATTTGGAAAGAAATTTTATGGTGATCTTTAAATGTCACTTGTTTGTACTAATTTCTACATTACCTCAAATTTGAGATTCTCATCTAGTGAATACATAAATTAAAATAACTACTCAGGAAGCTTCCAAATATAAGTAACAGATGGAAACAAAAATAATAAGAGCAGGTTTTGCTTGAGTTGCTACATCTCAAAGAATTAAGAATTGATGTCAGTGCAAAGCTTTTGTTTTGCTTAAAGGAGTTTTCCTTTTCTAGACTAGTACCAGACCTGACACGTTGTGCTCAGACCATGAGTTGGGAGCCTGGTAGGAGCCCACCCACCAAAACTGTTCAATCAGTGGGGGTTAACTGGCTAGAATAGAAAGCAGAGGCCCGTGGTCTTTCTCTTTGTCTTATTGCAATTGTGTTACCACAATCTTGATTTTAACTTCATGTGTTTTTTTGGTTACATAGAATTTTATGTCTGTATTTCAGATACCAAGACATGACTATATCTTTAAATCCTGTTTACTCATTGTCCTTCCCATTTTTTGATTCTTTTATTAGCTTTAAAGTTAGAGCCTCTCGCATAATGATACTTTCACATACAATTTGATTTGGTGCCAGAAGCGTTCTGTTATTGCCCAGCCTATGGGCTTCCTGCTTCTGCTGGTGTGTTCAATGTCATGGCCATTTCCACCTTCCCCAACCCTTACCAACCCCACCGTTCCTTTCCTCTCTTCCACTTTCTCTCACTCTCTAACGACCAGGAGGAAGAAATAGCCAATAGGGACAATAATCTTCTGAAGCCTTCTCTCCCAAGCTGCCAATAAAAGACCTATAGGGAAGACACTTCTTAACTTCACTTGGAGAAAACAGAACCTTTAGAAGCAAAGAAGATTTTTCCATTTAAATGTAACTGCAGAAGTAAATGTATTTAATCAGAGACATATATACATTTGTTCTCAAATACACTTCAATATATTTTCAAATATATGTCATCTTCAAAACAAGCTTAAGTGTAATCACAAAAGTCACTTAAAATGATTCAACTTTAGAAAAGAAATAGTTGGTAAAGGGGATTTGGTAATACTTTTAGCAAATTTCACATTGTTTGCTACCAATTCTTCTTTCCTCTATTAATCCTCCTTCTCTTACTTGGATGTTTGTATTTTTTTTCCAACCAAATATGGTAACTGTACTACAGGAGCTTGAGGACAGCCCTGTATGTTAACTTTTTAAGGAATGACCAAGAAATAGTTATTAATTAAGGAAGAAAATATCTTTATGCAAATTAACAGGAATTGGAGAAAGAAAGAACTCATCTTATGGAAGATGTGACCGCAAACAAAAGAAGAATGAAGGAGCTAGAAGATAATTTACTTTACCGGCTGACGAGTACCCAGGGGTCCCTGGTGGAAGACGAGGGTCTCATTATTGTGCTGAGTAACACAAAAAAGACCGCCGAAGAGGTGACACAGAAGCTGGAAATTTCAGCTGATACAGAAATTCAAATTAACTCAGCCCGGGAGGAGTACAGACCTGGTGAGTTTGGTAATGAAGTAATGTCACAGGAAAATGAAGTGGGAAATAAATGAGAATTAGAAAAATTGACATTAGGCCAATGGTCTTGCAAAGTGGGGTGGCCATTTATGTTTTGTGGCATTTCTATTAAGTAAAATTGAGATGACAATATTTTATAGTGATGTTAATTTTCCAGTTCATGTTAGTTGGCAAATCTTTTAAAGTTCCTGTGAACTTATTTTTAAACTAGAACTAAAAGGGAGAATTGTAAAAGACCAGCTGACTACAAATTAGTAAAACCTGAGGAATTAATGCATGAATTTTGGGCTGTTCATTAGTTGTTTATTATTTGACAACGAATAGCTAATGTTTTGTTTGTAGTCTTTGTATTTGGAAGGTAGTTCTTTGGTATAATGGGAGCTCTTCAGTCTTATCCACCAATTTGATAATTGGTGGTGTTCATTGGTTACTAGAGGATCGTGCTAAAATAATTCGATCTCCTTTAATAAGTTATCATTCCTCTTGGGAAAATAATGGAAACCATATCTTCTACCAATGAAGAGTCAGGTGCATCCTCTTTGTGATGCCTTTTTTTTTTTTTTTTTTTTTTTTCCCAGCTTTTACCAATGAAGAGTCAGGTGCATCCTCTTTGCGATGCCTTTTTTTTTTTTTGCCAGCTTTAGGCCAAGATTAGGCATAGCTTCTTCATGGCAATTAAGAATGAGGTCCTTCCACTGCCTACACAACTTGCTAGGTGTTACAACCTTTGATATCCTTTCAGTTGTCTTTTCTACCTATAAAGAAACAGTAAAGTGTACTTGTAAGGGATCTAGACATTCTAAAATGGAAGGTGCCATTTGAGCAACACAAATAGTGGACTACTTAAACAAAGCCTATAAGTAAGAATTAAATACAGAGGATGAGCATCACTCTAGACTCCCACTGCTGATACATAATTATCAGTAAGACATGGAAATAAAACTTGTTGTTTTCATGTAGAGTTGAGGCCAATCGGTCCCTGGGTCATTTACTTTCCAGCCTGATAGTACATGCAGCCTTACTTTGTCTTTCAGTGGCTACTCGGGGCAGCATCCTCTACTTCCTCATCACCGAGATGCGCTTGGTTAATGAGATGTATCAGACTTCGCTCCGCCAGTTTCTGGGCTTATTTGACCTTTCCTTAGCCAGGTGTGTATGTGCTTGGGAAGGCAACCTGAATTCTCTATCTGTGGTCTAGATGATGACTTTACGTTTATAATTTTCTTTAGCTTTGCTGAGTCTTATTCTCTTTTAAATCTAAGATTAGTGCAATAGCTACGGTGTTAACAAATCATTCTCATGTATCATTTTATGCTCAGAGAAAGCTCCACCAAGTATTCATCCATTGATTGATTCCTGTGGTTTCATGTGTTTCTGTTAAACAAGAAAATCCCCAAGACATTGTTGTGAGTGATAATGCCTGTTGGATAAAATTGATTTAGAAGACGTTATGGAGCCTGTTACGTTATTTCACAATGAGAAAATGCTTGTTATTTTAGATTTGGAGGTCTTACCCTTGTTGTGTACAAAATAAGAATTGGCCCTCCAAAGTTACATATTCGACATTCAAGATGTTGCTTTTATGTACAATTGAAAAGGGCAGGGGGATGAGTCTGATTATAATGTTCTCCACTCCAGGTCTGTCAAGAGCCCAATTACAAGCAAAAGGATTGCTAATATCATAGAACACATGACCTATGAGGTCTATAAGTATGCTGCCCGGGGCTTGTACGAGGAGCACAAATTCCTGTTCACCTTGTTGCTTACCCTGAAGATTGACATCCAGAGGAACTGGGTCAAGCATGAGGAGTTTCTCACCCTTATTAAAGGTCAATATCATCTCTGAAGCATTATACACAGCTGCAGGGATAGGAATGATTGTGAAGGTTCTGTGCAGTAATTTCTTCTGGTTATAATAGTTTCTTTGTACTTCATTGAAGATTGCATTTATGTGAGATATTTGTTCATTTATTGTATGAATATTTGTTTAGAACCTACTGTGTGCTGTGGCACAGAATAAGCACTTGGAACACATCAGTGAACAAAAAGAAGAATCTTGCTTTTGTAGAGTTTATATATTTTTGGGTGGGTGATACATCAAAAAATCATGAAATAATAAGTACATTATGCAGTATGTGAAGAGCTGGTAAGCACGTGGAAAAAACAGAGCTGGATAAAGGGTGTGTGAGGTAGGGGAGGTTTAAAATTTAAATGGGATATATGGGATCTTTAATGGGGTAGACCTCCCTGAGAGATGGATAGGCAAGCAAAGGCCTGAAGGAGCATAGCACTGGTTCTGGGGGACATTCAGAGGAAGAGTGTTGAAGGAAGAGGAGCCGGCATCAGGGGCTCCATTGAAAGCAAGGAATATGATGGAGGGAAAGCAAAGCAAGCCGGGTGGCTGGAGTGGGTGGGTGAGGCACCTGTGCAGCTCAGCCTGTGGACACTTATTCTGTATCTGCTGAAGCATTGCTCACAGACAGGTCCCCTATACCATACACTGGAACAAGACAACCCAGTGGAAGGTGGGGAAACATAAATTCACTATCACATTCTTGAATGTCAGGACAACAGATATTTATTTTACTTTTTAAAAAATATTTTTATTGATTTCAGAGAGGAAGGGAGAGGAAGAGAGAGAGAGAAACCTCAATGATGAGGATCACTGATTGGCTACCTCCTGCACTGCTGGGGATTAAGCCCGCAATCTGGGCATGTGCCTTGACTGGGGATCGAACTATGACCTCCTCGTTCATGGGTTGACGCTCAACCACTGAGCCACATGGGCTGGGCAAGACAGCAAATATTTAAAGTGCCTGTGAAAATGATAGTAGGGGTCTAAATGGTTTTATCTACTATACTTTTCTAAACAAAGCCTTTAAAAATAAGACACCATTTTATCTGGGGGTTGGAGGGGATTTTCATGACTTTACGTGGAGAGTGGATTTGCAGAGAACCTTGAAGAGAACCCCAATGGGGATAGTAGGGAGGGGGTGTGTATATGCACATGCTGTGCCCTGGAGGGAGTGTAGTCATACTGAGATATATATATATATACATATACATATATATATATACATATACACACACATACATATTCATGTTCATATACATATGCATATCCATCTGATAGTAGCAGCAAAGACTCATTCAGCTAGACCTGAGCTTACAAATGTATGTTTATGGACAATTCTCTCTCTCTCCCTCCAATTTGTTGTCTCTTGTACCCTTGCTCCTCAGGTTTCTTTTTTTTCTAAGTTTCCTAAAGCTGAGCAAGTAGAAGGTGAGTGATCTGGAGAGACAACGCCTTAGATAGACATGCATCATATATTACTGATTTCTGGCTTCACTACTCTGGTCCTCTAGCTTACTGAGCTTTCCTAGGGGAAAGTAGTTCCAGATATCCTAAATTCAGGTATGCATTTCCTTGTGGAAATGACTTTGAGCTTAGCATCCTTGGCAAGGTGGAGCTAGGATAGAATCCAGCATGGGCCTGGCTCCACAGTTATATTACTGATTCTTAAATGTGTTTTTGTGAAATCACCTATTCTTTCATTAAATTTTAAATCTTGTTCATCACCATGACATATTTCTGAGCTTAAAAATGTCAATGTAGTAAAATAATTGAAATTAACATAGTTTAAGCAGAAGTTTTT